CTTCAGCGAAGGCAGAGGAAACTGCTCATCGAATAATAAATTGCAGGCACGTGCTCCCCTGAGCAGTTGTTTGGAAAGTGTCCCATATGCCTTGTGCCAAATTTGCTGGCCAGGGAAGCTCAGTGGTATTAGCATGTTCCAGTTAATTAGGGCTGTGAGTCGTTCTTTTCATCGCCTGAAGAGCTGAGAGAAGGACAAACCCAGAGCACTGCCTTTATAAGGCTTTGTGCTTTCCAGCACTTGGCTCCTGCATGCTCTGCTCATACCCTGGGGACATAGCTCTTCCCCATGGGGCACTCGTGTCATACCTATCTCTCAGTGTCAGACACTGGCTTGTGAGTCATGTTTCTGGGGAACACGGAGCCAAATGGAATTTCAGCCAAATCCCTGATTTTATATCAGCAGTGGATCTAACCCTCCTGTAGACACTACTGCCAGCCCAGCCCAGCACTGCTGAGCAGGGCATGGGTAACCTGCTCCCTGCCCACAACTGATGTGGGTCCCCATAGGACCAGAAAAGATGGAACAAGGCAGTGAAACAGCAAATATGATCCTACTGCTCCTACTGGTGGTGCTGAGCAGTGGATCCCAGCTCCTGGATACCTGGTCCTTTTGGCAACACCAAGCCCACAGAAGATAAGTCATACTCTGAATTTTCCAGCCACTTGTATTACTTTCAGTCTTGACACTTTGGAAGAGTTTAGGCTGGGGCTGCCATCAGCCCATCCAGCTCTGCCTGTTCTCATCACACAATCCAGCAATTATAGTGCTCTTTGTCATCTCAGGAGTGACAGTCTGGGCAAAAATTTCTTTATGGGACTATGAAGCAGTCTCCAGTCTGGGAGAGCAAGACCCTGACGACAGAACACACTGCCTAAATGAGATGGGCAACTTAGAAAGAAATCCCCTAGGGCAAAGTGGGAAAGCAGCTGCCACTGCTGCACATCCAAGCACCAGGCCCTCTGCTCCAGGGGTGAGTTTGCCAGAGTGAAGCATTTTTATCACCTTTTTTATGTACAGAGAACTGAGATACATCAAATGATTTGCCCAACGGCAGATAGGGAGTCTGTGATAGATGGGAGAAACACATTCCAACCCAAAAACTCATCCATGTTTCTATTTTACCCAGACAACTGCTGGTGTACATCGTATCGTATTTTTGCAATCCCAGCTCTAAAGAGCTTATCTGACTGCAATTATCCTCTTCTGCAGAAGCTGTTTTCTACCTGGCTCAGTACACAAACAACAAGCAACCCTCTAATAAATTAACAAAGCTTTGAGTGCAGTGACTTGCAGAAATGGCAGCTAAATGCAGAGGCCAGTTCTGGGCTTCTGCATCAACAGTGCTGATGTCTGCCTGGAGAAACGGCCTTGGGTCCTTCTGTCCTCATGTGAGGATGATCAAGGGGATTTTGTGTGTCAGAGGGGTGGGAAGGGGATGGAAGGGGTAAACTCTAATAGGCATTAATAGACTTAATCAAAAGAGCCCTGTGGGTTTGCCCCTAGTGAGGCAGCAGCTGAAATGTGGTGATGTGTTTAGCAGAACAAATCCCATTAATCTTTTTCCATATGATCGTCTCCTTCCTGACTCACTGACCCTCATCCTGCAGACACGCTCAGCATCTCTGACTTCTGCCTGCCCTGGAGGTGAGCAGAGCTGTGGCAGACCCCAGCCAGTCTCAGCCCAACTCACAGTTCATCTCTCCTCCTGCTTCTTCAGTGCCTCTCACTGACACTCACCATCAGTGTCAGATAGCTCAGATATTTTAGCCAAACCTTGTCCCTGATGGTGTCTCTGCTCCTTCATTAATTCTAGGAATGTTCACATGGGGACAAAAAGCTGTTACGAAATGAGAATCTGTTTTAAAATTCAGAGAGGGTACAGAGAGCTTTCGATCCGCCCTCCCACCCCTGAGTCTCTTTGTGGCTAATTTAGTTCCCAAATGCATCAGACTCCCAAATCCACTGCATCCGTGAACTCTGGGGTTCAAATGGAAAAGGAGCTTTTGTGTTACCAAAACTTGCTGATACTTTGGAGGCTGCTCAGGAAAACACAGGCATGACACCTCAGGAAGGAGCAGTGGAAATATTTTGGTTACATGCAGGTGGAATTAAACAGATGTTTAAAAAATGAAAAGCTGCTTTTTAAAGTATGTCACTGTTGCTGCTCCAGATGAAGCAGGATGAACCAGAGCATCTGGAAGCCTTGGTAACAGTTTTCTTAGAGATTCCTCCCAGGGAGTGAACAGATAATCCACCTTCCTTTCTGACAGAAGTTAAACTACAGCAGATGGCTTACAGCTGCAAGGTGGTGAGGCTGAGGACCTGCTTGCTCACTGAGGCAGAGCAGATTACAGGCCAAAAGATCGCTCTCTTCTCTGCCCCATTTCTCAGCCTTTTGACATAATTTTTGCTCCCTGAAGTACAAAATTCATTGTATTTCTCAGAAGCACGGGTGAGCAGACTCACTTTTGCCTAATGAAAGCCCAACCACTGGGAAAGGCTTTTGAGCTGCAAAGATCCTTTGAATGATCCCATCATGTCTGGAAGGACACGAGGCTCCTGGGACACCCGTGCAGGCATTTGTGGGTATCCAGCCTGTGTGTGAAAATATCTCAGGCTTGAGGTTACAACAGTGCGTGCAGTGAGCCCTGGCATCTCTGCTCGGGGCTGCTTCCACACCCCAGGGCAATGCAAGGCACCATCTTTGTATGGTGGGGGAGGTAAAAGCCCTCCTTCTTCAGAGTGTTGCTGGTTGGGGCTCGGAAGACCCTCAGCTGCTTTGGGATCTGTAAGCTGTGTAGGGAGCTTGTTTTGCACCTTGGTGTTCAGGCTGCTGCAGTTTTTGCCATGAGTGCTGCTCTGAACCCACCAGGAGTGTGAGGGGTCTGGCACTGCAGCCCCCAGGTGTCCTTTCACCGTGGAGAAGCCAAGGCTATGCTGCACCTACTGCTGGCTGTAATTCTGTTGTAGCTGGGTGAGATTAGGCAGACTGGCAGGCAGCCTGTGTCTGTGGCACTGTGAGAAGAGCCTGACTGCCAGGGACAGGGCTGGGGAGCACCCAGGGACCCAGAACCAAACTCCAGATTGGTGGGTGTCATTTGGGATGACAGCTGTGCTGAGAGCAGTGCACTTTTTCGCACTGCTCTGCCTGGTGGAAGAGCTGAGGTGATGTTTTGGAGCACAGCAGGTTTTGGTGCTCTACTGGACCCCTTAGACCGTGGGAGAGGACATCTTGGGGGCTTGCACTGACTATTCCATGATTTAAGAGTTTGCTTTTGCTATCATCCAGCAAAGTCCATGTGCCAAAAATGACTGCAATTCACCCCATGGTCCTGATGAAGGTTCACAGCTTCAGGGTACACAAATTTCTCTCCTGTCAATCACTGCCTTCTCCCCAGGCATCTTATTTCAGCCCTGGTGAGAGAAGAGCGGGGAGTGGTAGCAAAGGAATCTGGGGAGCAAGCAAGAAAAATCTCACACAGAAGAGAAAGGAGGAAAAAAAAATCTTGACCTGAAATCAACCATCCACTGCTGAGGACCTCGGAGAGGAGGAGTATCCATCCACTAGGAGCAGGGGGAATAGCATGCACCACTCACTTCAGGCTAGCTGCTATTTGCCTTTCTCTGCAGACCACTGGGAGATGGCAATGGCTCTTTCCAAGCAGTTCTGTCTTGTCCTGCTTCCCTCCCCTCCGAGCTTTCCTGAGCAGTTAAATCAACAGCCTTAGGGAAAATGAAGGGGGAGAAGACATGAAACTCCCACAAAAATCCAGTTAGCACAGCTGGTGGATTTCATGTCCTTTCCTTTCTGAAGGGGAGACAGGGAGAAGAGGGGGAAGGATGGGACTTATGAGGTCTCCTGTCCAAGTCTTGGGTTCAAGTGTCACTTTCCATGTGATTGCAGGAACGTTCTCATTCCTCTTTTTCTGCTGAGCCATTAGAGTTTTTTCGTTTTCCTGGTGTATTGTGACTTTTTGGCACAAAAGGTTGTTTGAAAAGCCTCCCTGTCTCTGTTCTCACAATGAAAAGGAGACCAAAGTTCACTGTGGGGGTAAAAAGCAAGACTTCTCTGAAAAAATTCCAGCTGTAGGTATTCAAAGCCAAGGAGAGGTGCCTTTCCCCTCAGCCTGTGGGAGCATCTGCTAGCCCAGGTGAACTGCAAATTCACACATTGCCTGAGTTAGAAATCCCATGCTAAGAGCACACTACTTCTCCTTGAGGGCAAAATCTTAGAACAGGTTGGGCTTATCTGTGCTTATCTGCTTCCCTGTGTTGTATTTAGAGTGCTTTCCTGGCCTCCAGCGAGCTTGGATTTTGCAGATTTGGACACGAGGATGCTGCTTTTCTGTCTCTCCCTCTTTCTTGCTTCAGGAGTGTGGACAGGTGTGTGTGAGCATCCTAAGCAGCTTTTTCCATGTCCACAATGAATCTGGCTCGGGAACAGACCAAGCCACTTCCAAGTGGCTAAACCTTTTCAGCATTACTTGTGTTTGTATCTCAGGATTCCATGAAGTCCTGTCCCACAGCTGCAGGTTGCTCTGTGCACTGTGCAAACTCGGAGGGAGGAGGGTGCAGGGAGGTCTGTGAAAGCTCTGCTGAGCTGCAGGACCCTGCAGACTTCTTGCTGCAGGGTAGATCCCCCTCTGGACATGACTGTGCCTGTCCAAATGAGTTTAAAGCTTGAGGACATGGGACAGCTGTGGAGTGAGAGCAGATAACACTTGCCCCAGACTGTGGTATGGACAGGGAGCCTGCAGAGCTCCAGCTCCCAGCACTTCTCCCTGGAGAGGAAACTGTATGTGGTGGAAAAGCTTCTCTCTGCTCGATGCAAGAAGCCCCTCAGTGGCTGAACACTGTATAAACAGCAGCAGCAGACTCCCTCCCCCTTTCCATTGCTGTTTGTTAAACACACGCTCTCTGCCTTTCTCTCATTCAGGAGCGAAGACAGCATCCAGCTCCGTGAGAGGGGCTGTCAGTCACCCTGCAAGTGGGGGCTCTCCGGTGCTCAGGGAGGGCTTCCAAAGCTACTGCTGGTGATGAAACACTCTCCAGCAGCCCAGAGCCTCACCTGACTTCCTCTCTTCTCCGAGGACAGTTGCAGAAAAGTGCTTTCCACTCCTTTGCCACAGGTTGACTTCCAGAGAGTGGAGAGGACCAAGTGCTCCATCCTGGGCAGCGATGAGACGATAACTGGAGGTGAGTGGCTCGGTTCCTGGAGGAGGATGCTCTGGCCTTTGCAGGTGGGTCAGGGAGGGCTCATCTGAGCAGCAGGGCTGAGATGGGGCCAGGTCTTGTCCATGCCACATGGTTCAGGCAAAAAAAGTCCAAGCATCTTTGGGAAAGTGGATTTGGGGGCTGACAGCCCTGAGAGCTGGAATAGAAAAAGCAAATAAGAGATACTGGCAGGAGAGTTTTGAAAGGTCCCCGAGCAGAAGCAGGGAGTGTGGGAGGCAGGATGCTGAGTGAGAGCAGTCAGGAGAGCAGGTTGCTCCAGGGTGCTGCAGAACCCGGGCACATACAGCTCCAGAGGGGCAGGTGTGGGGCTGAGGTGCGTGGCTGTCTGAGAAATCCTGATCTCTCCTGCAGTCTGCCTCCTCGTGGCTTGGTACAAACCTCTGTCAGCTCCTCTGTGCTGGGACTGCACACGCTGCTGGCACTTGGCTCTCTGCCACAGATCAGTGACCTCGGACAAGGAGATGCAAAAGGGGATATGGGATACAGGAGGAAAATCAGTGCTTGCTTTCTCTCAGCACCCATTGCATGTTAGTCCTTGAACAGAGAAATCCTCTTATAGTCCTGCTGCAGATGCATTTCACCTACAGAGTTTCTGGTGTGTCCCAAAGCAGGATACTGTGTTTTCTTCCTGTTTGCTCTGTCAGTGAGTTCTTATTTTCCTCTGCTCCACTGTCTCAGCCACCCCAGACTCTGTAAATTTCAGGAGGCAATAGATTCCCCAGGTTAACCAGGATCCATTCAGCATGCTGTCTCTTCCTTTCTGCAGCCCCAGTAACGAGTGTGTCTCCATCACAGTGTCACCCATTGATACCTATGTCCCAGCCAGCCTTGCTCTGCTGCCACAGCACATCCCACAGGGCAGAGGCCCTGCACTTCTCCCCCCTGCTTTCTGTAGGATAAATTCCCAAGACAAGGCATGTATCCCTGCCAAACAGATCTCTTCTCACCACCTCCTTTTTCATCCTGTCCTGAGCTGGATGATTATGGCATTTTCATTGCCTTGTTTCCTTCAGAGTCTTCCATGGCTCCAGCCTAGGCAGGGACACAAAAATATTGAGTGTGAGGAACCACAGGAAATCCTTGGTGTATCTCCTCATCCTTTCACTTTGTCTCCCAGTGCCAGTTCTATACTGGGGTCCCCCAGGAGCAGTTCTGGGTGGCAATGAGTTTCTGATGCCACGAGATTTCTGCACCAGTCGCCCTGAGCTGGGTAGGTAACCTACAAAGCTGCAGCAGATGGTGTGCAGGTCAGAGGGTCTCCCCTTTTGCTGGAGTATTATAGCAAGGCAGTCAATCCTTCACTGGAGATGGAAGGAACTGGGATAATTACTATCTGTTCTTTGGCTTCAGGTAATCATCCAGAGCTGCTGTTTGTCGTGAAACCTGCCCACTGCACAGAGAAGACCAAATTTGTTCCCCTCCATCAGTCATATTTTGCATTTTCATGCAGTACCTGAGATCTATGTGCAGGTTTTATGCTGAGATGCAGAGTCCTCTCTGGTGGTGAATACAGAAGGCTGGAGTTAGAAAACCTGGGCTCTGCCCAAGCCCTGCCGTGGATGTGCTCTCTGGTCTCTGGCAGGCTGGTTAACCTCCACGTCCCCATTTATTGTGTTGTCCTCCCTTAAGTGCTGTGCTGTGGGGTGCAGGGACACTGAACACTGCTGCCTCTTGAGTGTTGGAAGGGAACATGAAGGTGGTAGAAGGTGGCTTGTCCCAGGATGACCACCAGCTTCTCATGATGAGGGATGGGCTCAGACCTCCTTGTCATGGACGTCTGCCTGGATATGGGTCTGGGAATGAGATGAGTCAGTGCTCCTGACTGGGCTGTTGGAGATTAAGGGATTTGGTGGTGTTGAGCTGCTTTGGAGGAAGGACAAGCATGGAATAAATCAGTGAGCCAAGCCATGGAAGTATCCATCAGCCTCAGCTCTCACATTCCAGCATCACTGTAGAAAGAGTTTGTTGTTAACCAAAGAGCAGAGACTGGCCCAAGTCCCTTCACTCCCTCCTTTTGATTCCATGGACTCCAGTCTCACTGCTTGGACAAAAAGAGAAATTCTAGTTAACAGGCTCTGTTTTCTCCAGCCCTCTGCCCACCCCTCAGCCCTGCTTTCTGAACCCTGCCAGGCTTTACAGATGGCTCTTCCAGGTCTGGATGTGCCTCTTCCAGTCTGGCTGAATGCCTGAGGCTGCATCAGGGACATGGGGGGAGCTGGGGTGCCCCAAGAAGCAGAGGTGGACAAGCCCCAGGGCACCTGATCTAGGCTCTCTGTAGGAACGGATTTTGGAGCTGTCACTTTGGTCGCTGTCCCAGTCATTGACAGCAGTGTGCTGAGTGAAGGGCTCCTCTGTGCTTCCCCACTTCCCGAAGGCTGAAGCCTGCTGGCACAGGGAACAGCTCTGTCTCACTGGGAGCCATCCCATGGTCCCAGCCCTGCCTCAGGCTGAACCTCAGCTGGCGCAGAGGCTGAGGGTTAGGGTTATCTTGATACAGGCAGCACTCTGCTTCTGCATGACAACTCTGCACAGAGGAAAGGACCTGGATGGTATTTCTGCCTCCTCCTGATCTCTCCCGCTGCTTTCTTGTCCCAATAGCAGCTGGCTCTCAGCTCCAAGGACTTCTTCATCTAGTCTGGCAGGACCATTAGGCACTGGGCCTTACAGCAGCCTACACATATGCCAGCACTTCCATTACTTGCTGGAACAGACCTCAGTCCACTCCTAGCAGCATCCCAGTGACCTCCAGACAGCCCCTGGAGTGTAACATTTATTATAATCATTTTGTCCCTTAATTAAAATGTCTTAATTGATTTGTAATAGTTCCCCTTTGGAGAAAAAACAAAACAAACAAAATCAAATAGTAACTCCATTAAGGCCATTTTGTTAGGAAGTGAAGCAGCTCTAGTAGCCATCATGTTCCTGGCTCCTCTCAGATGGTGGGTAGCTGCCAGTCTCCAGCAAAAGGAAATAGGCTTAGATGTGAGCATGGGAACTGGCAGCCAGTTGGTGGATGAAATGGAGAAAAAGAGAAGGGAGTGTCCACTGGTGTGGTGCCAGGACTTGGGTACGGAAGATAAATGGAACAGGCAAGCCACAGAAAAGGCGATAACAAGTGATAAGTAATGCTGGATAATCCAGGTTTAAATCCCAGATGGGTGGCAAGGAGGGAAAGTACAGTCACTGAAAGTGTCCCTGGCAGTTGCTGTTTCCTTGGCTGACCTTACTCTCCTGTCAGTGGGGCTTGCTTAGGGCTGGCTGCAGCACAGGTGTCTGCCAGGGGGTCAGACTCTGCCAAAGAGGCTGTGGCTGTGCCACCTTCCCAGGGCCCTGCCTGTTCCCCTGCTCTGCTTTCCACTGCACCCGCTGTATGGCATGGCTCTGGGCTCCTCTCTCCCATCTTAGAAGCTGGAGCTTTCCCTTGGTCTTTCCAAGGCTGGGGAAGGGGTGTTGTGGAGGTCTGAGATCACCCTTAAACAAACCCAGACCTTAGAAAATCCCCCCATTTTTTCCTCTGCTTCCTACCCTCTAGCAGTAGCTACATGATGTCCACTATCTCACAGTGGCTGAGCCCAATAACCTCATTTACAGGAACCACTGGCATAAATCAGTCCTCAGAGTGAAATGTTAGGCAGTAATTGGACATGGAGAGGGAAAGAGTGCCAGCAGGGATGATTTTACTGCAGGCAGCTCTTCTGCTGGGCCTCTGCAGAGTCCTGGCTTTGCAGCCAGCCAGGCAGATTCCTGGGAGCAGCTCCTGAGGGGGAATCACAACCCTTGCTCTGAGGAGGGCTGACAGGACAAGCAGACGTTTTAGTTTAGGTTGCAATGTAATTGCAAAGCATTCTCTCCTCCCAAGGACAGGCTGTCCTTAAACCTTTGGCTTTCATGGGATTTGCAGGAAGCCCACCAGCACCCAGTCAGCAGGGCTCACATCTTTTCTGGGACAAACCCAGTGGAGCCTGAGAAGATACCCAGCAGCCTGCCTTTAATTCCTACTTCATTTGAGCCCTCTGCCCCCCTTCCTTAGTGAAAGGGCATTTCCCCTCTCTCTGCAGGTCAGAGAAAAGACAGTGCTTTGCTGACCTCCCTGCTTGGGCACAGTGATGACTTTTGCTCACTTCTGTTTAAGTCTGCAGTGGGAGTGGGGCCCCACTCACAGTGCTGGGGAGAGGGGATATGTGAGAGGCCACCCCTCTCCACATAGCCCACAGCAATTCTGAGCCATGGAGCCTGAGGAGGAGCCAGTAACAGAGCTGGCTTTTCTCCTGCCGTGTTTGGATTGTATGAACACCCTGCTGTGACAACACTCTGCCGTTCCAGTGGCACCTAATGCCAGCCAGGGCTCCAGGCTGCGTCACTTGTGGCCCCTGGGGCTCCCTGCTCCCAAAGCCATCCCACGCAGGCATTTGAGCACCACGTGGCAGGAGGCTGATGGATGCTGCTGATGGATTCTGGGGCTCTGGCTCTTGGCCTGTCTGTGCCTGGATGCTCAGCAGCAGCTCTGTGGGAGGCTTGTTCACAGCTTCAGTGGTTTATGCCCTGTAGGAGCTCCCTCCTCTGCTAAGCCAGCGGATGCCTGGGTGTCACCAACACTGAGAGGACAGAGAGGTTCTTTTAGGGATCCTTGGCAGAATGAAGATGGCACTAAATCATGGTGACAGTTAAAGCTTTGTTTCTTTATCAGGGTATTATGATTAGTGGAGAGCAGAATTTATGATTGAAACAGCACAGGATTTCTACAAGCAGAATCAACATAGTACAATCTACAAATAGCAAAATGTAGAATTTATAAATAATTTATGATTTCTAATCATGTAAGTAATACGAAATTTATAATACAACTTACAATTTATAATCATCTGGACCCTCTCCAGATTGGGAAAAATCCTAATACATGGTTTGTTGTATCATTGTAACAATCATAATCTAGAATCAAAAATTCTATAAAAGAATATGAGCCACTCACTGAATCCTTGGAGAAAGCACAGGATGGTGAAGGTGTCTCCTGGCCATAGGGTCCATGGGTCTCACTGTCCAGTAGTTCATTACTTAGGACTTGTAACTGTGCTCTGTGTGCTGTCACACTTCCCTCTCCTGTGATGGGGACATGAACAACACCTGGGTGTTGGGTGGGTGCCTGTGGCCTTCAAAGCCAGCAAGGAAGGCAACAACTGCCTGATTCCTGGGAACCTTGAGATTGGCAGGGGAAGGAAGAAGAAAACTGGTTTGCCTAGTTGGTTCACAGGACCTCAAGGGCCTGATAATGAGGGCCAGGGAATGACTATGTGACACATTGGGTCATAGAGATTGGCTCATAAAATGGCACTGGTTGTACTACCCACATTACTGGGAGGGACAGCAGACACTGCTGGAGGGGATTGGACGGTAGCATCACTATCAGGAACAGTGGCAGAAGCTTGTACAGAGGCAGGGGGACAGATATTTTCACCTGGAGAGGTAAGAAATAAGAAACAGAAAAAACCTGGTGCATAATCTAGAAATAAATAAACTGTTATGGGGAGGTGGAGAAGGGCACCTTGACTTTAAGATGCCTTGTTCCTCTCCTTTCCTAGTTCTTAGGGTGTTAGGGAATTTTTGTAGGCAAGTAAATCTCATTCAAAGATGAATGTAACCCATGCTCTCACTTCTGCTATGTCTGTGTTCCAGACCTCCTTCATCTCCTTACAGAAAGTATCAGGCCAGGCATGGGACCATTGGAGGGAGCCAACAGCACATTCACCATGGAGAAGACAGCATTAGATGAGAACCTGCCACATGTCTGGCATGCCAAGGACTTTGTCACTCCTACCCAGGATCTCTCTGGGTCCCGCAGTGTCATGATGGACAGCACCAAGATCCTGGGGGTCCAGGTCATCCTGATTGCTGCCTACTCCCTCATCATTCTGCTGGGGTTCATTGGAAACTCCCTGGTCATCTACATCATAGTGAAGTACAAGACCATGAGGACTGTCACCAACTTCTTCATAGCTAACCTGGCCCTGGCAGACCTGATGGTGGACACACTCTGTCTGCCTTTCACCCTAGTGTACACCCTGCTGGATGAGTGGAAGTTTGGAGCTGTCCTTTGTCACCTGGTTCCTTATGCTCAAGCTTTGAGTGTCCACGTGTCCACTCTCACCCTGACTGTGATTGCCCTGGATAGGTACCGCTGTATTGTTTTCCACCTAGACAGCAGGATCTCCAAGAGGCTCAGCTTCACCATCATAGCTGTCATGTGGCTGGCAGCAGCTGTCCTAGCAGGGCCTCTGGCCATCTTCAGGGAGTATCGATATGAGGAAATCCCATCCATTAACCTCAAAATGGCTGTTTGCTCAGAAAAATGGCCCTCTGGTAACAACAGAGATGCCACCATCTACAGTCTGTCCATGCTCCTCCTGCAGTATGTTCTTCCTCTTGCAATTATTTGTTATGCCTACACCAGGATCTGGTTCAAGCTGAAAAACCATGTCAGTCCCACTTCTAGGAATGAAAACCAGTGCCGGAGGAGGAAAACAACCAAAATGCTCGTGATGGTAGTTGTGGTATTTGCAGTCTGTTGGCTTCCCTTCCACATATTCCAGCTTGCCATCGATCTTGATCTGGTTCTTATCTTCCACGAGTACAAACTCCTGTACACTGTCTTCCATGTCGGGGCCATGTGCTCTACGTTTGTCAACCCCCTGCTCTATGGATGGATGAACAAGAACTACAGGAATGGCTTCCTTATGTTCTTCCGTTGCCAGAACAAGCCCGAAAGCATCCACACTGAAGGGTCAGTTAGAGGGAGGTCTTACATCTTCAGGGCCAACACCCTAAATGGGAGCATCAAACAGACTCCTGGCAATGGAGCACTGCCCACAGAGGTTTAGGGATGGGACATTCACCTCCAGCATTGAGGCTGGCTGGGCCCAGAGACATTCTTGGGTGAATGCTTTCATTTGGCAGAACATTGTGCTGCCAATTATAGCTACAGCAGCCATGTAGAAATAAAAAATACCCCCTGTATCTCTCAAAACAATAAATCTGGTGCATTTTTGTCTGACCAAATATATTAATTTTTCCTTTCACTGCGATCAAGTTATGCATGGAGACACAAAAAAATAGCACACAGAGAAGGCTTTCATTTAGCCAGAAAAATACACCCTTCTTGCTATTTCCATTTGCCAAAGTGGGTTGCTCAACCTTTTACCCCCTGACACATAACACATTACAAATGTGCAGCTGATACTGTGTGTGATTGTTCATCTGTACGTCTCCTACCCAAAAGCCTTAATGATCCATCTTTAGCTAATGCCTCCAAGGGGAGGGAGACCTGCACTCTGTTCTGCAAACACCTGCTTGTTAGTGCCATCACTCCTCTGACCTGTGGAGAGAGTGGGCTGGCACAGATCTAAGCTGGGCAATCTGTGATCTCTTGCCCAACATTTGCATAAATCTGCATTTGCAGCCCACGGGGATGTGCTCAAGTCCTCAGAAAGCCCAGGAGGTGGCAGTGGCACTACTTACCACAGTCTCCTTTACAAGTGCAGAAGCAGGGCTTTGGGAATGCCTCATTAGCCAGGGCTTGTGTGCCAGCACCCTGGAATTAGCAGGGAGGAGAGCAGGAAGGGAAGCAGATATGTTCAAGTTCAGCCCTGTTTATCAGCTGCCCCAGCTCTTTCCTTTCCTAAGGGATTGGCAGAGGCAGGCTGCTAAAGACCCTAAGACGTGGCTCCTGCCATGCAATAACTTGATATATGCCAACACGACCAGAGAGGCAAAAAACTGCCAATGAAACCATTCTCCAAGGCATTCAGAAGTTTAAAGCTTTCCCCTTGCTGAGGCTGAAGGTACTATGGGTCTGTATATGGGTGCTTCATTTCAGAAGACAGATGTAACCAGCTTGCATGGTTGTCACAGATGTGGCAGAAGACATGGAGACTAAGGAAGATGTATTCTTTCAAACCAAATTCTGTGTTCTCCTCTTGAAGGCTTCTGTCAGCTGGGGAGTGTATTTTTAGCTCTGCCATCAAAGAAGCCTTGATTGCTACTGTGATCTTGGTGTCATCTCTAAAAGTCAGTGTTCATCAGATTGGAAAGTAACTCCCAGATGCAGGAAAGAGACTCAACAGACCTCCTCATTAAAAATGAAATGAAAAGAAGAACTTTGATTTGTAGGTCTTCACTGAAGCAAGGGCAAGAGGTAAGAGGACCTACAGTACTGAGTACACGGGCCTGCATCAGGCTCCTGGGCTGTCACATCTGGGTCCTCGAGAGATCAATTGCCAAAGTCTTATTTGAAATTCTTCCTTCTCTCCAGCTTGACCTGCCTCTGGCCTTTGTTCTCCAGCTCAGCTTCCAACTGCCACACTAGATTTTAAGTTCTTTGTTTATTTCTGCTCTCTGATCCTCTGCTCCATTTTCCTAAATAGGTATAAGAAAGTTGTTTCTGGTTCCTTCCCAAGAGACATCAGTGCCAGGGAGGGGCTGCAGACCACACTTCTCACTTGGAACCATAGGCATGTTGATGCCTAATAACCTCCTCAGCACCTGACCCTGCAGATCACAGCCTGGATTTCTATCCAGGGAGATTCAGGATCTGTGAAGATCCTGTCAGGAAGTCATTGGTGTTCTAGTAAACACATCATCTGCTTCCTAACAGGTCAAGACATGATGGGAGAACCAAGACACGTGTGAGTGCTGTGGAGTGGCAGTGGGAGTTTGCTGTTTCATCCTGATGGAAGGGGGAGGATATTCTCCTCCACAGCACTGGTAAATTCTGTCCCTACTTAATGAGCTGGTCATTTCTACAATCCATCCTCCTGAGGAACTCTCTCCACCTTTCCATCAAGCTCCAAGATACAAGGAAATGTTTATGTTTCAAAAGTAGCTCAAATGCATGGAAAGAATTCAACTATTACCAATAAACACTTCAGAAAGTGATTTAACACTCAATAATGTAAGTCAGAGTAAAATAACAAATTTAGCAGTGCAAGCTTGGAAGCCAATCATACTGCCAGGCAAGATGGATGAGGAGCTAAATTGCTCTTCTAGAGGCCACGCCAAAGGTTTTGTCCTGTGACACCACACACAGTATTTAACTGCAGAGCAAGGCAGATAATGACATTATGAATGACTGTTTAATTTTGAGCCCAGATTTTTAAACTAAATATGGATAAATAAATAAACAGATCCAAGTTCTTAAAAAATTAGTACTGGCAGTGGCATGTACAGGGCAGAGGGAATTTTATGCTGGAGCAAACTGAGAGGGAGAAACTATTTACTTGAATGGTAACAGCAAAGTTCTTGTTTGCTCTGTTTAATACACTTGTGCAGCTTCACTGATAGATTTGTGCCAGTGAGCTCGCTGTTTTTTCCTTGCCATTGGAAAAAGTTACAACCTTCCCCATCCACTGCTGGCAAGGAAACCAGTTCTTAGTTGTGCATCCATGTTCCTGTGGAAAACTGTGATGCCTCTATTGAAGGAAAGAGCACATTTTGAGGGAAAGAGTACTCCCCACCTTCTCTTGTTTTGTTTAGTACTTGGTGTCCAGTGTCCAAACAGAGCAAGAGAAGGTGGGGAGCAAGGAAGCAAAGCTGTTTAACAAAGGGTGATCAGAGCAGATAAAGAGTATGTTTAACTATTGTGACTGCATAGAAGACAAGAATTAATTTGTTTCCATGAAACAGAAATCTCTTGGAGATGAAGGTTCCCCAAATATTAATGCTCTGCTAAAGATGGTCTTATTGCCATGATCAGTTCCATGAAACCAAAGACTGGCAACTTTTTAAGCTTTTGAACTATTTAGAGCTCAGGACAGGGTATGACCCTGCTCTGTGGGTGTAAAGGACATATCCTTTAGCAGTTAGAGATAATCTTGGAGTCATCTTCCCACTGCCTGTTCCTTGCCAAAGCCACATCTGTGACTGCCTGGCCAGCTGGGCTCCTCTCTGCAGAGCTGGCCCTGGCATTACTGACACAGGACAGAACGACTCCTGTCACTGACACAACAGCTGACAGGAATGAGGTATGTCATTACAGAGCTGGAAACACGGTAACAGAAATGAAAATGAACAAGCATTTCATCAAAGCTTATCTGGAAGACAGTTGTACCTGATGGCCAAATGAATTTCCTCTAGGCTCTTCCTCATTCTTGCTGACATCCTTCTCAATATGCTGCTTCTCTGAGCTGACCTGAGGATATGTCACAGCTTTTAGGAGGGAGATTCTGAATTCCTTTAGAAGTGCTCTATTTCTTATGTTACCACCCTCCTTCCGGTCACATCATACAAATCTTGTATTATAAAATGTACCACTGAACAGTTCTTAATTGCCTAGAAGATTATTAACTTTGAATAGACACAACAGGTGGCAATGCTTCTAGCTATTCCATGCAATCATTCTTCACATGCCAGTCAAATCCAAGAACAGCTGAGATGTGACAACTTCTTAGTTTAAAACCAGCAGCATCAGTAACTATAGTTCCTTAGAACAGGATGCTCTAAGAGCTCTTGAGAACCAGAGTCTCCTATCAAACTTCCAGCCTTAACAAAGCACATTGAAATTTGCAGAGGACAGGCTGTGCTTTGGACACAGGAGCCTTTCTGAGCACTAACATTTTTGCCTCTAAAACACTTAGCTTGTTATGAAAATCCTTTCCCATTTAATTTTCAAAGCATACACACCTGTAATGAGGTAATGCATGTACAGAGAGCAAAGGTTTGGGCTTTTTACTTTTCCTTGTATTAAGGCAATATATACAGCTGGCACTTCAATCAATGCAGGGTGAGCTGGGTCCTTTGGTCATGGCTCTCTCAGAATCAAAAATGTGACATGCTCCTGCATTTGCCTGTGCTTCATCCTGCTTCTTGATAGGCCAGATTCAGCCTTTCATGGCTCTCTGCCCTCCCGTAATAGGTGCCTTCTCCCATTCTCCATGGAAGCCCAAGCAAACAATGTCAAATGGCACATGTTTTATTCAACATACCCACAAATGTATCAGCAGAAACACTGCTCTGAGCTTTGTACAAAGGCTCTATAGGGAAATACATACTAGTCCAAGAAAGAGGGCATTCCTCTAACATATGCTAATATGCCAGAGCTTGTGTTCTGTTGAAGGAGGTTTCAGACAGTTCAGCTCTCCCTTGATATCAGGTGTTAATCTTATCATTGTTACAGCTAACAGGGTCTGAAATCAAATTAGCCTTTGGGCAGGAGCTGGGGAGTTGGCACTGGCTTTGCATGCCTTTGTCTTTCTGTTCTGTTATTGTGTGATTCCACTAGGGTTTCTGAATGTGCTGGGTTTTAAATAAGGCTCCATAATTAGCTACTCTGGTGAAAATCAGGAATTACTGCAATAATCTGGAAAAAAAAGAAAGGATTCTGTGTTCTTATGGGTAAGCAGAATTTGGTCACTCACATTTGAAAAAAACAGAGCTTTGTCTTCCTTTCAGTTTTTCCTTATCTAGCTTGAGATTCTTTGAGTGCCAAAAATAATATTCCATATTACTGCCAGAACATTTATCTTCGTTTTGAGCTCCTTTGAGAGACAGAACTTGTTCAGGAGAGCCTGGGAGGGGACAAAGGCTAGGATTTTAAAGCTCATGCTTATCTCTAGTCTCAGTGTTTTTTAAGTTAAAAGACAAATCAGAAAAAGACAAAGTCACTCACGCCAAGGGAGATACCAATTTATCTTCAGACAACACAACCTCTATTTAATTTTCCATCCAGACACCCCATCACCCTTTGCCAAAGTGTTGTATGTACACGGGGCTGGATGAGGTTGGGGGAGGAAAGCATTTTTCTGCTGCTAATAGCAATACCTTAGTGACACTCATGATTTATAGCCAGCAAAGAATGCTTTTTCTGGTCTATGTTCTGTTCACTGTAATGAGTTCAGAAGGAATAGTGCAGATGCCTCATGGAGCTCACAGGAGGAAATCTTCATTAGTCCAGTCCTCTCCAGTGTGGAAGCAAGGACTGGGAACATTAGAGGAGAAATCCTCTTGTTTATAACTAGCTTATTGAAGTGCACAGGCATGGAGTTGTCACTGTGTTGCTCTGCTAA